TCTCTCGAGGCGTATTAGCCTTACCAAAGGTTCTAAATTAGTTTTAARAAGAAGRCGGCTTTAGAATGCAATCACAAGACTCTGACAAGATTTTGWACCAAGSTAATAAAAAAACTGAGAGTGTTGTAAGATGACGGCAGTAAGAAATCGACAATACTACAAAATATTTTTTACAACTAAATARGTTTTTAAAAACTATTAAGAGWAATCGATTTTCATACGATTTATTTAAGTTTAGATATATTASTTTCCGTTATASAGAGTGTCAAACTTTATACAGTGTTGTTCAAGACAGATTGGAAACCGTTGGAACAATTTTAATGAAATTGTACACATTTTATGATAGTTTGCTTCACGACAGCGTTTTTCAGTAAAAATATTAAAATATGTTTTTATACAGGGAGTTACAAATGAGTGTTAGCATTGGTTGGAAGCTTGTATATCGTTCGACTCGAGATGCGAAGTCGGTTAAATTAAATTAGGGCCAAGTTGTGCATTTTAATGCATAACCAAAATTAGGTGATTGGTCCGCCGTCGTACGAACTGATAGATCTCCAACCAATACAAACACACACATGGCACACGGGCTTTAACCGACTTCTTATACTCTTGTGGGTTATAACATCCCAATGCAAACAYCTTGATTAYTGTATGGTAGGAACCCTGTAGGTTGAAAAGAAAGTTTGTATTTTTTCAGAATTATAACAATAATGCGATGGACTCAAAACGTTTTGTATACAACTGTAAAAAAAGTRAAAAGTAAAGATAGGATAAAAAAACCTATGACCAATACAAAATAAAGCCGCCTGATTCTGTTATRAACATTATATAACGACTCCTTATMGAAAATGGAAATTTACATTGGTTTTCCAGTAATTACYATCATAAGTTCTCAAACTAATTGAGCAAACGAGGAAATTGCTGATGCAGTATTGTATGCAGTACTCGGTAAATTATGTACAGAACTTATTTAAAACACKTAAATTTCGACAGSTTTAATTGTTACAAAAATTGARAAAAAAGTATCATCTAGTTACAATCGCCTTATCACTAAGACTGCATTTCAGCCAGACGCAATTCAGCATCTTAGTGTCTATTGTTTAAGATTGTTTTCCTTAACATGCAAGCCCAAGATTATATTCATTCTCATCCTGTACTCGCTTCAATAAAGTCGTTTTTTAAAAACACGTTTGTTCGAGACCACATAGTAWCTATCTAAACGTTTTTATGATCAGACACTTTTAACATATTTTTGTTATATAAACAGAGGTTCGTTTCCTTTTTCGTTTTAATATATGTATTTCCAGGTTGTTAATTTTTTTTTATAATTTGGACATAAAAAAGTGTGAATTCCACTTGAAACAGTTTTGTAATCGATTTTATTTTACGATACATACAGTTATTTGTAAGTGTGTAACCTCCAGAGTAATTATATTTTTATTGTTCTTAATAATTTTTCTTGACCACTTTTTTTTAATGAACCATGTGTGTCAAACTTGGTTAGAATTGCTTCGACGGTTCAGATATAAAAATAGTGTTTTTAACTCCATGTATTCGATATAAAAAGGAGGAGAAAAAGGACTAATGTTTATGACACACCCTGTATATAAGTGGAATGCCTCAACTTATTTCAGAAATTACGAAAAACAAATTATTTGATTCAAATTAACTGATTTGAACATTTCGACATATGTGAAATACGAAAAAACTTAGTTTCAGGTCAAGAGTAAAAAAGAGAATAATCGTTTTACTTTTCTGAACTGAAAGTGCTGGACATTCTGCTGAATTTTTTTAATTTAAAGAGAATGCTTTCCCTGATAAATATTTGCTTAGTTGAAATACTTACAATATAAACCAACTTTTACGTTTTACATGAAAAAGTTATTAAGTGTTTTATGTAGAATTGTTTGTGGTTTGACTTCATTTTGGAAGTATCTAAAAAAATGCGATAAGCAGTCTTCTTTGGTGCATTCACCATTGTACTCAGTCCAATCCAAAAAGATCATACAATAACGTCTGGTTTCAAGCTCTAGGCTATTTTTACCAGTAAGGGCGTTACCGATAGTACAATATTAATTGGTGATCAAATCACAATAAATGATCAGGTTATCCGATTTCTAAGTACTGATTTTAATAGGCCATCGATTTTCTAGATTTTGAGTATAATACTTACATGTATTTAGCTAATCGAAGTTTTTAAATTACCGATATATTATTTTCGATTAACATCAATGCTTGAAATATAAATTTTGAACTTTGAACACATCTGTGACTACAAAAAATGGGTAAAAAGTTAGAGATAAAAAATTAATTTAATAGAAAATCAGAGATGCCAGGCAAGAAGTCGGTATTATCTGAGAGATTCTTAAGTTCTGTAAATCAAACAACTTTTTGAAAAAAAGTTGATCAATTGCATCAATTTGGGCTTTTTGTTCATTGTTCAAAAAACTAGTCAGTGAGTAAGTTCAAGGCAGAAAATGAGAAAAGTAGATCCTTATCAGAAATATGTTTAAACGTTTGATTCTAGTTCGACCTTAAGATCCAAGCAGATTTATTGCCTAACTGCTCCGAAAAGTATGAAAAGGGTCTACGAGACCTTTTGAACACTTTTGGCGTAGAATTAACAAGTCCGGAAGATTTCTACTTGCTTATGAAATTATCACAATAAAATACTGAACAAGTTAAACTGAATTGAAAACAAGTTTTAAATTAATATACAAGCTCCATCCACTTAAAATCCCACTATTGGTATTTTTTTTATTAATAGATTAAGTGAAAACGCGCAATGTCACAAACAAAAATAATTTTTTTATTAAATTCTCTATATGTATTCTATTCAACGAACGATCGCTTTAACACATAATCTTTGAATCATAAAACTGTATTTTGTTTTCTTTTACAATGCAACTTGAAGGCTGACTTTATTAATAAGAATAATATTATGGTAAATAAAAATAAAGTAATAAAATGGATATTAATTAATAATAATAAACTAATAGGGATGTTACGAACCACGACGAGATATTCTAGAACGTTGAGATTGAAAAAAATGCCCTAGACACAAGCACAGGTTATCGAATTATGGAAATCGCAAAAATATTATTCACTTTTAAACTAAGCTTGACAACAAATGGAGGCTTGGAAGCAGGAAAAATTGGCTCTTCAAGAAAGTCAAACATGAAATATTATCTAAACTAAATTAACCTAAAACCGACACATTATACTAAAATGTTTAAATTGCATTGTCTAGTTTAAAAGCTTGGTAAACATCACTGCCTTGAAAATCGTACACTATGAATATTTTGATCAATAAATTACTGGACAAGTTAAACTGGATTGAAAACAACCAATAAACTAATTTGCAAGCTGCTTCAACGGAATTTTGAACGTACACATTGGTATTTGTTCTATTGATATTAGATCTTAGAGACAATTTTCGTATCGAATACTCTCRATATATTCTAGTCAAAGAACGACTTGATTAACCGTAACCACCTTTAGGATAAACGACTGTTTTTTTTTATTTCACTGATCAACTTCAAAGATTAATAAGAATTACTAATAACGTAGAGTTATTTGGGAACAGCCTGTATAAAAAACCAAAAAATTRTAGTTCTTGACATCCCCACAGGTTATTGAATTTGGGAAAATGCAGAAACATTTTCATYAACATCCCTAATAACAAAATAATGCAACTATGCCGAACATCAATTGGTTAGAAAGAAGAAAAACTAGCTAGTGAGAAAAGTTTAAAAGAAAATATTCTTGGTATAGGTAGGGTTATTCAGAATTTAATTTATTATTTATTTATAGCTGCAAGAAAAATTGTGCTGCGGCTTTGAGTGGGACAGTTTAAACAGGACAATATTTCTTAAAGCTAAGGCTAAGGTTTTAACAATATTACACAAATTAACTTCTGGATAAACTGAGAAAAGTTTGAATTTTATTGGAGAATTTAAGAACTCTAAATAAATAAAATTTTATTATTTGAAAGCTTGCTAAACACCACTTTGTTGAAAATGGTGGTTTCGGAATAATGAAGGAAAAAATATTTGTCGTAACTGCTTCAACAAATTGTGTGCTATTTAATCGAAAAATTAGTTTATCGACCTTTGTGAGTTTTCTATCAAAGCATCATCTGGTCGGGAATCAAGTCGGCCCGAACCATCAGATCGCGAAGATCAATATTATCTTTTACCGGGCGTTTTATAGCAAAATATTACAGATTACCACTTGAAGATTTGTTTAATTAGGCACATTCCAATGTTGCTTTTAGTCCCCCATTACCAACAAAGGTTACTTAGAATATGCCATTAACTAATGTGAGTCAACAAGATCAATGAATTGCAAATGTACTGTAAGCTAAACATTGAACGTAGTAAACTGGGGATAAAATATGATTTATTTAAAAACTAACTTGACTTGCCGACTTTTTGCATTATACTGATGTTTTACATCTGGGCTGTGGTTTAATTTTAGATTTGTCGCAGTGGATGATATTTAACTGTTTTAAAAGAAAAGTCATGTCATATTAAATGGTCATAACTGATAAGTCCGCTTTGTCATATTAGACAAATTGGTGCAAATGGTTGATGAGAAAGTATGTTAACGAAATAATGAGATCGGTCGTGTGGGTTAAAACGCGATGAGATCGAGTGAACTGCATGCTTCAGCAATGTTTCATGAAAATTTAGCCGAACTCGACCAAATGCCATAAGAATTGTCGATGGAAACAGCAAATATAGCCCCAGGTAAAGAATATTATTGGATTTCAACGCTTCACCGTCAGCCATTATGCTCCGAAACAACGTCGCACGCCGACAACAGCATGAACCTGGGCTGGAGATTCGAGTTGGCGAGCAGGCTTCATAAGGTCGAGTTTTATCGTCTTTTAAGCGTCATCATCGCCTTATTGATGTACAGGTTGATGAAATTTGTTGTGGTAAAAATTAGATTCCACGGTCGCAACAAGATGATGATAAATATTGGATTTTCTTACCTGAACTTGAAGGAGCAGCTCAATCTTCTGGGATAACCGGCTTGGGGCGAGTATTTCGTCAAAAACCGATTTTAAAGAATCAGTTTTATCCGAGAGACAAAGCCGGCAAATGGCGTAAATATCGCATGGATGTCCTGAACCAGATGCTTGGATATCCATGTCGACTAATGAAATGGTTCGAGCAATGTCCTTTTATGAACACGAACTGCATTCACTAGACTCAGTTTATCAAGCTGATTTTGAGATTTTCTCGTGGCCGATGACGGACTAGCTTTATCAATGTTTGCAGTGCCCGTGTGCTCTCCCCCACTTACTTTTCCATCGGAAATTAGAAAAGCTGGAACTTGGAAAAATGAACTAAAGTTCTGGAGGAACTGGACGAGCCAACTGATGTTACTGATGCACTGTCGCCGTGTAGGAAATAAACTGATTAAGCATTACAAGTTTCGACTGCTTACGATTTCGACTTTACTGGCGGTGTCGGTAAATAAGGACTGCAGACGGATGGATTGTTGACTGGCTGCCTGAACAATTTCTATTCGGCATGGTGTGCCCTGAGCATGAACTGTACTGTTCTAGCAAGGTTGAAATGGAAACGTTCAACATGCTGATGTCGATACTCCATTTCCTACATGTAGCACATCATCATGTTCAGACTGAATTAATGCCATTGATAAGCTCATGACGGTTCTTCCATTACTTCCATTTATTTGAAATCACTCGAATTAATATCTGAAATATCGATTGCTATTCCCAATTAAAAGATTCTCATTTGCAAAGCTGCAAAACGTTTGCATTTACAACCATGTATGTACTGAGTGGGCCGATTTTGATGATTCTATAAGTGCTGTTATTAATTATAAGAGCTAATGAATAATATTAACCCAAGATCATCGATCTCATTGTTCGAGGCGAATTCATTGGCTCAATCCAAATGATTTTTGTCTCAATTGTTATTAGCTTCTGAGATACTTATAAGCAAAACCTTCACTTTTTAGTTTCTAAATTGCATCCGTATTTCGGTCATTTGTGAAATAATGAAACAGTTGAGTTACCACTTTTTATAATGGACTAAAACCAATTCATGAGTTGGAACAGAAACCTCTGTTTTTTCCTTCATGTTAGCAGGTACCTAATTCGTAAATGACTATGGCACATGTAGGTACCTACATACAGGTTTGATATTTTGTTTCTGGTATGTCTGACGTGTCGGGGCTCTTAATTAGCTTTATTCATTACTGTTCAATATTAGACTCATTATCAATGTACCTATCTAGTTAAATATAATTATGTGTATTGATACTGCAGGAATAATGCAGAAAATTATATTTGTCCCCTATTTTACTGTCATTTGCTGTCATCTAACTATTTTATATCAAAACCAATTACCGTTTTCAGACCTTAGTCTTTTAATAAAATGAATAAAAAATGCATTCAATTGATTCATGCAAAAACTTATTTGATCGGAATAATTGTAAGCATTTTGCATACCTATATTGTTTTTGAACAAATATTTCTAATTATTCACAACTGTTCAATGTTAGAATCATTATGGATGTGGCGAGTTACATTACATACTTATGTACAGGGTGGGCCACTAAGAGAGGTGGTTGGATGTATATCAGAAACTATTAATCTTCATGCAAACTATCCAGTGGCGAATCCAGGATATTGATCCGCGCACAGTGGGGTATTTGATATTAATTTTTGATCGAAATTGTTTTTAATCAGATATTTCTTATAAATATTTTAAATTAAAAGTGGATCTTATAATATATTGAAGGATGAAGAGTTATCTGCATTCTACAGGGTTAATCAAAAATTCCGTAACAGCCAATTATTTCAGAGAGAACTTTGCAATTTTGTAAACCGGAATTCTTAAGAACTTATAGATACTTGATTCAATAATTATGTGCACAAATGCCAAGTCTAGAGTATGCCTCCCAAATCCCCAAACTTTCATATTTCAAAGAATATGTTTTTATTTAATGTTTAAATTTCCTGCATTTAAAAAACTAAATAAAAACATATTATTCTCATTTGAAATAGATCTATTGAAACTTTAAGTAAAGAAACTAGACTAAGTAATAAAAGTAATAAAAGACTTGGTAATTTCGCCCACATTAAATTTCAAAAGTTTTCACGCATTAGTTTCTGATATATTAATGCTGCTATTCGACCTTTGACTTGCATACAAACCTTTGGAGACAGATTTTGAAACCTGAAATTTTAAGATTATTTTAATCCTCCCATCGTTATTTCAATAACAATGACCATAAAAAGCCGACCAAAACAAATATATTTTTTAACGCTTAATTTGAATTGTTTACAATTTTTTATACCTGAAAATAAGTTCTTCGTTTTCATTTTCAACACATCTTGATGCCTTTCTATCAAATAACCCGCACATGGAGAAATAAACAAACAGTGAGAGTAAAAATATAACTTTTGGACAGATTCAGACACTGGACCAGTTTATTTTATTTTGGCCGACAAGAAGCAAAAATGAGCAGCCAATTTTTTCACCGTAAAAAAGCTGAATGTTTACTTCTAAAAAGTCATGTTGGTGGCACCCCTTACAAGTTGGAGCTAAATTGATGGAAATGTAAAATTTCCAAGACAAAAACCCCTAAATATCAAATTTCAACAATAGAGAGATAGAAACAATTAGATAGAAAATTATAAGAAAAAAACAAAAATAAACCTAACATTTAAACACCCTGTATCTTGAAAACTGTGCACTTATGTTTATGAGACCTTTTTCTCATAAAATGACCAGTTTCTTCTATTTCGGCCAAAAAGGAGCAAAAAGTAGCAGCCAGTTTTTTAACGATCAAGGAGCTGGATGTTTACTGAGTAATAAGTAGATATATAGATTTAAACTTAATTCATTAAAAGTTAATTAAACCTCTCTGTTGAAGTCATACTTGCTGTTTTTTACATTATTTTTGAGCCCTCTTATATAAAATTTTTAAAAATATTACTTATAAAGATCGCTTTTTGCTACTTAATGCATGTAAAAAAGGCACAGTATCGAATCGAAATGATGAATTTACACAAAAATTCAGAATTTATTTAAGATTTGCTCTAAGTCTTGACGTAAAATGTCAGCCAAATAATCCAGATGAAGAATTCAGAAAAATGCGTGACAACGCGTAGTAAACAAGTATTGCGTCGACTTTTATGAATATTTTTAGAAACCAGCGCATACTTGATTTTTTGTATTTTCGATCAGTTTTCTCACGCTTTTGAAATATTTTACTTATAAATTTACAGAATTATAAAATGTGATTAAGTTAACCATTAAAGTGAATCCAGATTTTAAAGCCGTTACGATTAAATGGAAAGTATTGAACTGTGGATTCGCCACTGATTCCTATACATAGAGGAGCAAAAAACATAGGCATACTTTCGGATACCAATACAGGGGGTTAAAATAGCAAGACAAGTTCCTATTTGAAAAACATTTCACATACACGCCATACTAAGATTTACTCCCTCTAAAGACGCTCCTGGAAATCGGTTTTTGTCAACACACTTTTATAGTACTTGGTTTAACTTGACAATTTTTAAATCTAATAGATATATACTAGTTAAAGCCTCTTAAAATAGAGTCGTTTAAACTTATTTTGCAACTTCCTCATATGAGCAACACCATGTATGATAAAGACGCAAGAAGACTTAGATTATTAAGAAATTATATACATTGGATATCGATAAAGTGAAGGGTTTTCCAGGCAAAGCCTATTCTGTAAATCAATGTTTAATCAAATTACATCTTTCTTGAAATCGAACTGGTGAATTGATAATTTACCCGTTTAATTTAAACGGCCGTGAGTCCAAATCATGTGCTTTTTGTAGTCTGATACATTTAACGTTCTAAATTGAGGAAACCTGCGCCGTGACAAAATCACGGAAGAGGTTTTTTATTTATTTAACATTACCGTAGTTGAAAAGATGAAATTCTCATCTACCGATTCAGTGATTTGGAAAAATATTGTTAAGTGATTTTGCGATTTAAACTAATTAATTTAATTAAATACCGAAATCCAAAATAAGAAGTGTGATATGAAAAGTTACAAGTTGATAGAAAATATTTGAAAATTTACGTGAAATTTTTTTAATGGTAAGGATATCGAGCTAACTATCTGTCATTCAGCCTTAAAAAGTATACTTTGCAAAAATCTTCTTGATTGAAATTATATTTGTGTCACATTTTAGTTTTTCTTGTTTTGAAATCAAATAACTTTTGATCTAATTAATGAATCGTCGTGTTTTTTTAATGCAGTTTAATTGATTAGATCAAAAGTTGTTTGCTTTGAAAACTAGAAAAACCAAAATGTGACACTCTGCAAAATATCAAAGAACAGCATCTAAAAGTTTTTTGGGTCTGTAACATAGAAGGTGTTAAAAAATAAACATTATTGAGGACAACCTGTTTGATTCCTGGCGAACTCAAACAGCAAAATGACTTTCAAAAGCATTGTATTAAAGACCATTGGCCAGTTTATTTCATATTAAAAAACTATCAAAGCAGTTCAAGTACTCTAAAAGTTGCTGAATAAAATCCGAATTAGAGCGGCGTCTTTAAGACATTCTTTAGACGCTTATAGCTTCGTAACGAAACTCACAAAACTGATTTCAGCAAAAACATGTTTCTCTTCGATCATTGTTATTTTGTAGATGGTCCATCAATCCTTAATTCGGACTGATCCATTAGGATCAGACTACAAGAACAAAGTTTTAAATTAATGGTTAAATAATCTATTCTTCATACCGATTTCAAAAAGATTAAATTTTGTTAAACACTGAATTAAATATTAGGCGCTTTTGGAAAACAGTTCATTTCGCGTTATCTAAGTAAGTAAGACACTTTTCCCCCACTGAATATGAAGCTGGATATTGTTTTCGGTTAACTTATCAACTTAACTATTATTTCACCAAATTGTAGCTTTTGTGAAATTAGTTTACTTAGCACATATTTTTAACTTGGTGGCACTAAAGTGGATGAGTTTTATCGTTTGTTTATAACATAAGGAATATGTTAACAAAGACTCAACTTTTGTGGTATTATTTTTTTAAACTATTATTTTGTGTGTTTGGAAGTGCGCGAGCTGAAGGTTCATTCACTTAGATACTACCTATACCAAATAAAATTTTGGGAAAACTTTCCACTTTTGTGAAATCACCACCTCTAAACGGTTGCTGGCTCTCAGACTTTTCGGGACACCATTTTAAGGGATCTTAGCTAGCTAGTATTTATCGTAATAGAAAATTATCAAATTATACCAAGTACTTTAAAAGGCATTTAATAAAAACGGATTTTCAACAGGTTTTTTCAGCGTCGAATGTTAAGGAACTTATATCTTGATAGATAGATGCAGTAGACATTTTTACGATTTTAATTTTAAGTAGTATAAATTTTAACTTTCTTTCAACGGGAATAGTATGTAATGAAAATGGACCTATTATCAGTTGTGGAATATGTTTCTAAACTGGTATGTTTTCGTCGTTTTAAACACATAATCTCCAATTCTTTAGTTAATGCGGTTTCTCGAAAAGCGCAAGTTTAACACATTTTTGAACCGAAATTGGATCGAATTGAGGAATTAACTTATAAATAATTAGATACTGGTTATCAGTATGTTATCTTTGCCTTGCTATCACTCAAACAAGA